AACATCATTTTCATCATCCACCATTTTCAAAATCCACCATTGCAACTTGACTTGAGTAGACCAATCCAGACACTTTCAAGGCAAAGTAAAAGTTGGAACATACTCACCAAGGTTCCAGGAAGCTAAAGCAATCATCATATTGCTTCTGGAAGTCGTGTAGAGGCCATTGAATTTTTGCATCAAGAGGTAAGTTTTTCCAACTTTGAAATCTTGATACAAACATCATTTGCACTTACTTTCAAAAGATAAAATATAAATATCATGTCTATGAAGCTAACTATATCCTTAAATTTCATTTTAATTGACTGTGGGATGAGAATTTTGAAACTGATTTTTTTGAACATTTAGGTTTTTAGTTTGGTACAGGTAGAAATTCGTGAGTTATAGTGAGAATAAATAAAAAATAATTACATATTTGAAATCCTTGCAAAATTCTAAGCAAGTTTTGTTTTTACATTTCTAAATTTGGTTGAGAAATGAGGAAGTTAGAGTTTTTTGAAAAAAATGGAAAATATTATTATTACACTGTTAGCGTGCAGGAGGAAGAAGAAGGAGGGCTTGGCCATTTTCAAATTTTTTCATCTAAGTTCATTTTATATTTAATGATTGTTGTTTCACTAATGGATGTAACAACCATCCTAGTAGCAAGCAGCGCGTGTTTCATGTCACTTCTTATCTTAAGGGCGCGGGTTTGAACCATAATGAACCCCTCTTTTGCATATTTTGTGTTATTTTGTGTTATTTTTGTGATTTTTGTGATTTCAGGAAGCAATCTTCTCATATAATATCATGCAAGCACATGGTTGACAAGCAAGTTAACTCCTTTTGAACTAATGTTTTGCACACTACTAGTTTATTAGGTCTATTTTATGAATATATAAAAATCTCACCAAAAATATTTTTATTTTCATTATTCGTGATTTATTCAAAGTAGTATCTTTTAGGTTTTTTTCTTTATTAAAAACTAAAAAAAACATTTTTCTTAACAAATTTCTTTTCTTGATTAAATTAATTTTTAACTTAGTTTTTGCTTTGAATTTCTTTTCTAATTAAATCAAATTAGAATTTAGGGATTTTAATTAATTAAGTTCTTTCCTTTTATTAGTTTAATTAAATCAAAACTTTTTATAAACAAAAAAAAAACAATTTTCTTTTCCTTTCACATTGCTTTTATATTCTTGCACATTTTATCTTGCAATATTCAATATGATTGTAATAGTATAATTAGAACTTTATTGCTTTCATCCCTCATTTGTAAATTGTGTCCCCATCCCCAAATGATGTAATAGCGTAGAATTTTACATTTTCGCAATTTATCGTTATCATATAAATGCTAGTAATTATGGTATGTATGAAAAGATAAAATCAATAAGTAGATAACTCTAATCAAATATTAAATGCATGCAAATCAAACACACTACTCACACATGCACCCTTAAGGTTAACTCCACTTGTTGCCTAAAAAATGGTCATGTTATGCATGTGAGATGTCTTAGCAAAAACAATCAAAATACAAGATCATAGTCCCTCGATGACGCTACAAATGTTGCCTTTCAAATGATCTTAGTATCTCAAAGAGAAATTCTAAAACATCTTACAATGCTATCATGACTATACGATGACCTACGCCCGTCCCTTTACATCTAAAGATAAGGCTTCTTATCAATCAATGGTAAGATAGTAATATCAAAGGAAAGGAAAAATAAACAAAAGACTTTTGAGTAGGTAGAAACGTTCTTAGTTGCTTGCTCACTTTCAAAACAAACACATACCAAACACTTTCAAAACATGAAATATTTTTAAAAGTCCAACACTTTATATACGTTCTTACGAAATGAGAACCATTACAAAGTTTTCCTAAACGAAGACGCATTTTCAAAAATACTTTTAAAAACCACCACAAAGCACATTTTCAAACAAAGCAAATGATCTAGCAAGCAACTAAGAGTCCATAGATAACTATGGATGAAAAGAGTGCTAATACCTTTCCTTTTCATAATCTACCCTCCGAACTCAAGAAAATATCTCAAAAGTCTTTCCTGTTCTTTTCACCCTTTCCTTATTGGATAAAAGAAAAGTCGATGGCGACTCTTGCTAACTGCAACAATTGCGATCAAACGCAAAATATCCCAAGTCAGTTCTCCCACGATATTACAAGAAGCATATAACATCTTAGAAATGGTTTGGAAAAGGTTTTATGCATTAAAAATCAGATTTTATGTGAAAACATGTTTATGTATCGACTCACACGTGTTATGAGTCGACCCATGTGGATCATTTTTAAAGCTTGTAGCTTTTGTTTGGATATGTTGACACGTAAGGGATTTCAGGTCGACACATAGAAGAAAAAATTCTTCTATGAGTCGACACATACGATGAATGAGTCAACAAATGCTGCTCAATTTTAAAGTTTGTAGCTTCTGTTTCTCATGAGTTGACACATGACCTTGTATAGGTCAACACGCATGTCAATATAAGTCGACTCATGACTTATATGTGTCGATACATGCAGTGAAAATTTTGAAAATCTGCATTCTTTTCTAAACTTCAAGTTTCTCTTTTTGACTCCATCTTGCACACATATATATACCTCATACATGCATCATTTGAGATTTAAAAAAACCATAAATATATAAAGAGTTTTCTTCATCTTCACCATCTATTTTTATGCACACACAAACAAATTACACATAATTATTCTTTGTTTGGGTGCCATCTATATTTAGAGTTGATAACATCCAATTTAGGTTGTTGAATTATAAATTAGGTCGAGAATTCTTTGGGAGTTTCAAATAAGAAAAATAAATTGGGGTTTTCCTTCAAGATCATTGGGATTTGAAGGTTTTGGACAAGATTACATAATTTGAATTCAACCTTGTGAAAGATTCAAATAACGGTGAGTTCGGTCGAAGGAGTAGCGGTAATTGAAGGACCACTTTGGTAAATCTTGGGTCACAATACGTTCACAATTTGGATTCAATCGAGTGAAGTCTTTGAAGAAAGTGGGTTCTTGCAAAGATGTAACGTGAGAGGGAGGATCAAATTCGAAGTATCGGGTTCACTTGATCGAGCTAAAGATCAAAGGAAGACAAGAAGAAAGGATCAACATCATATCTTGGGTTTGGATTGTTGGATTGCTATTTGTTCTCTTGTAATCAACATTTTGCAAAGGTTAATTTCATTATCTAAACTCTGAACGGAATATGGGGCATACATACCCATAATGAGGCCAATTGGGGAACTTCCTAAACAAATCCTCATGTCTTTCTTTCTCTCCCACTTTCTATTTTACGTTTAACTGCAAATTGTGAAAACTTCGAAGGTGCAATCGATACATTGAGATAAACTTATTGTTTAATATTACAAACTATTTTGTTGAGTTGATTACAATCTTTGTGATTGTAATTGGATTTACATATCAACAAAACTATAGAAAAGTTTGTTTTGAATCGATTGCACACTAAGTATTCGAAAAATTGCCTTAGTTGATTTTTGTCGATTATTTCATTAGAAATTGATTGGTATAGTGTGATTTATTCAAACGTGCAATTGGGAAAATATATTGGCTTAGTGTCTTATCACTTTCATTGCATCTTATTGGTTTTACGCATATCCAGATTTTCTGATAACTGTTTGGATTAGACGATATTTTTAATCTAGGATTGTTTTCTGCTGTCCATAGTTAACAAAAGTTTTGAAAACTAATTTTCAAAAGAATTTTTTAACTTGGGATAAGTTGCCTTAGTCTAACAATTATCAGCTACATTCAATTAACCACTAATAAATAAAAACAACTTAAATTAAATTTTTTATAACTCTCCCTGCCATAATCTAAATGCCACATGATCGGAGTACCCAATGATCAAGGTAGGGTCCGAGGGTCCTCCAAGGAACCCCCCCCAATCAGTGTTAGCCTGGACAAATGCCTCTGTATCAGTCTGAGTCGGCACCTCTATCTCAACCAAAACATGAACCTCCGTATCAATGTGAACATGAACCTATATATCTTTGTTAACAATCATCTCTTTCTCACATCATCAATAACGATAATATTTGGCTCAATATCATGATCTCTAGACCGATTAGTTCCAACCCCTCTACGCTGGAGAGTACGTGTTTCATACGACTGCTCAATCCTTCGACAGTGAGAACTGATGGAGACTATTCTATCAACTCTAGTCTCTAGTGACCGTCTCAATCATTTTTACAACCTCCCTTAGAGATGTCTGGCACTGCTCTCTCGCTTAATCTAAGTATGATTTTGCCGTCTATTCCTTTTCTTTAACTACACAAAAAAAACTAAAAAGTAATATTAGTTTATCAGATTTTTTCAAAATATCCCATCACACCCTTAAAATATTTGGTATATATGAGTGTGTTTTTATCGCAATTTGTAAATATTCAATAAGAATATATCCATTTTTATCGACTATTTTAAAATTACCGATAAAAACACATATTGTTCATACCAAAATTTTAGAAGATTTCATTATAGATGCAATTAAAATTTATGAGATATTTCATAAATTTTATATCTAACAATTTCAGAAAACCGATAAAAAAATTATTTTGTCTAAATATTCAGTATTCTATAAAAAAAACATAAAATAAATGAAAACGGTACTTATTTGTAAAAATTCATTATAAAAAACGTTTTTTTTTTCTTTCCAGAAATTCAAAATCGTGTTTTGATGGTGAAAAATGAATTTTTAATGTCTAGGGATATCGGTGAAATAAAAAGTAGACTGTTCAGAAATTTGGAGTCCGTTGAAGGGGATAGCGCATCCTTCATTTTCGTTTTCTTCTTCCAATCAAGTAACTCCTCTTCGGTAATAATCATAATCTTTTAATTTTCAGTGAGTTTTTCTGCTAAAATTTATCATATGTTTATGTCAATAAATCAATGTATAGCATTAGAATTGTTTTGTTTTTATTGCTCATTATGTGTTTGATACAATGCCAACTCTTCCTTGAACATGCTTTTGGGTAAAGCAGAAAGCATGAATGAAGAGTCTAATTCTTATGGAAAGGCTACGGAACTATTGCATCAGCTGGAGAATATCCTTGAATCTGATGCTCTAATGTAAATCTTGATTGTTTGTTGCTTGATTTACCTATGTTTTGTTGCTTCTTCTAAAGATGTTTTCCCTTATGCTTTTGGATCTAGTGATGAGCTGGGGTTTATTCATCCATCCCAGTTTTCCTTGTTAAATGAAGAATCTCCAATTTCGACAAATTTATCTGCTGAATCCGTCCGTCTATCAGCCGACAGGATAGCAAGCTCTGACGAACTATACTTCTGGAACAGAGATCATAAACTGGGAATTTCAACTCATATTCTTCTACCGTTGTATAAAGCTGCCAAACATGCATTTATGACGGCATTTAAACAATATAAGATGCGTGGAAATCAATCTGACAACGTTGGACTTTGTTTACGTCATGACCATCTTGAAAGCATACTTTTGAGACACAGCAGGTCTCTTCTGCTGCTAAGCTGTGATTTCATGACTGCTTGGAATTGCAGGTTATCCTCTTACCTATTGATATTTTCTATATCATGTTATTGACATTTGTAACTTGTAAGTCAACATCATAAGCTGGATTTAACTTTATATTATGTTTTTTATTTATTTATTACTTTGAGAGCATAAATATCTTTAAAATGAGAGATTCTAGAATTGTAAGGCAAGAAAACATATGAAAATGGAAACAATTACTAGCAATTTGATATTTGATAAAATCCTCTTTTCTGTGTGCATATTGCAGAAAATTATTAGTGTCCAGGAAGAAGCAGGTCTCAATGTTTGTAGATGAACTTCTACTATCAGAAGTTGTGCTCTCATACTCAGCCAAAAGTGAACAAGCTTGGAGTCATAGGTATTAATGTAGCAGTTTCCTTATCACTTTGTCCCCATCACAATTCACAAAAGGATGAATATTCCCAAGAGGAGTACTATATACAATACAATTGAATTTTGAATACTGATTTTTTCTTTTGACAATCATTTTTGAATAGTAATTGGTCCTAAGGTTTTGGAATATTAATAGGCATCTAACGCGCAAAAATATTTTATCTAGGCGATGGGTGATCAAGTCAATCTCCGCAAACTGTTCAAATTTGGAAGAGATTTTGGCAAAAGAATCTGAGCTGGTGGAAAAAATAGCTGAGGTCTAAATTCAATCATACTATTTAAATTGGAAACATTTTCTAATGTTCATTTAGTTGACTGGTTTTCGTACCCAAGTGAAGGATTAAAGATGAATTTACTTGACTTATGCAACACTTCACCTTTTTGTCAGAGATTGGAGATTACGTATCAAACAAACCAGCATATTTTGAGTTAAACACCCATTATTCCTCGTTTTACCCCTTTCATTTTCAGAGATCCAAGATGAATTATCGTGCATGGAATCACCGGTGCTGGTTAATCTCATACATGACTAAAGAACAGGTATTTTTATTTTTGCCAATTATAACTTGTAAGTATCACAGCATAATTCTAGCAATAAGTTGTGAAAAGGTTGTGCATGCAGTCTTAAATTCGGAAAAGATTCTGTACAGTAATAACTTAGTTATTTATTTATTTATTTTTTAATTTATTGCATTTAGTCTTATTTAAACTGGTTTACCTTAGTTGTTGGAGCCAATTGGCACGTTGACTCATTACTAGCCCATTTTTGGTTGGATAGAATGGTTACATTTTCCAGTTCCTTGGTTAGGTTAGGTCCTTTAAATGAGTATGGGCATTCCTATAATTAATGGAATGGATATTTTACAAAGAAAAGTAAAAAATGATGTAATCATTACCACCCCCTTTCATCAAATGTGTGAGAAATGGCTCAGCCCCTCTGAATTACTTGTTCAGTCCAAAATCTCTATTGAGGTCAAATTGTGTCTTAGGCCCAATGACATTGTGTTGGACTGACCCCGGCTTACCCCTACCTGACCAGTAACTTTGGTCAGCCAAAATCGAGCTAAGTGAACCTATTTAACCAAAATAATCAAAAATTATGTTTCATTATGAATTGTATGAAATTATCTTTAAATAAAAATGAAATTCAGTCAAATAATTATGTACAATTCTTATTCTCTCCAAATGAAATATGACTTTTCAATGATTTATTAATGTCTCTCAATTCTTATTCTCTCTAAATTAAAGATGTGCTAATTTAGGTGCTATCCGAGATGAGGAAATCCAGAAGTTGGGCTTCACTACATGTGTCTGATAATTGTTGCTTTCATTATCGCAGAGTAAGTTTTGATTCAGTCGTTTGAATCTGATACTGGTGGTTATAGTTTCCACGATTTATACACTTTTTAAGTAAGAATACTGTTACTTAGTTCTTTGATGTACTTGCGATTTAGCTTTCTCTACAATCATAGATTCCATCATATTGCAGCGGCTACTGCAAAAGATGATGGAGGACCAAAGTTGTGCAAAAGAAACTGCATCTTATGGTCATAATGCTGATATTGTCCAAGCAATGAAGGTAATGGTTGGGAATTTGCTTACTCTTTTGTTATTGCTTACTTGCTTTGCTTTCTACTTTAAGTTATAGTCTTGATAGTTGTATCACATGTCTCCTTCGCAGATACTTAGAAAGGGAAATAAGAACTCTATTGATTTATGATACTGTTACTGTATCATATTGATGAATTTTGCAACCTTGTATCGGTATTATTTGTATTCATAATTTTAGTTCTTGTAATTATGTGGCAGTTGTGATTTTTCAGGACGAACTTGAATGGAATGAAACATTGATAAAGCGTTATGTCGGAAGAGAGGTAGGTGGTCAGTGTATGTTTATTATTATTTACTAATCTTCATTTACCTCCATCAATAGTAGGCTAAAGTGATACATGGATAGGCTGAAGCCATTATAAATGATATATTCATTATCTATGGAATTTTTAATTCATGAGGTTCATTATCTGTGGGACTATTCATGAAATTGTTGTATGAACCAGTGTGTCTGTAAAATATCAAACTCAAATACTAATTATATAAATACAGAAAACTTCTCTATAAGTATAGGTCAACTTTGATCCCTTTTTATCTTGGTTGCAGTTGAGTTAGAGAATCGAGAGCATAGATAAATGGAAAGTTAGAAGTTTAGATACATGTCTCAGAAACACACGGTTTCTGCCTAATTAGGAGTAAGACAAAGTTTATGTAATGTAAGTTTAGAAATAAACACTCAAATAATAGCTTAGAGGTGAAAGTTAGAGAGCACGCCATAATAAGCATAACACAATTTCATATTTTAAGTATCTTGATCCATTATACAAAACGATGGGTAAAGGAAAATGTTAATCATAGGATAGGACCCCAAACAAGGTGGATGAAATGAATGAATGCTTTAAGTATTGTGATAAAAAGTACCAGTCAAGTTTAAAGGCAGAGGAAAACTTTACCGCACAACTATTAGACCTGTAATATTGGGTGGATTCGAGTGCAGCAAGAAAATAAGATCAATGTTTCTGTAACAAAAATGCTATAGAAGTCAACATGAAAGCTCAAATTTGGGGATCTTTTTTATTTGAAGGTTATAAAAACAGAGGGGCCAAAATCTTAGATTTAAGTTTCAAAAGGTGATAACATATTGAACTGTTTCAACTTTTATATTGAGATTGCTTTGTACTGCCGTTGGGCCTCTTTGGAAATTTTGTACTATTAGCTTGATTATTAATTTACCATACTTCCTAGAAAATTATTCTACTTATACAACTATCCAAGTGCAAGTGCTTCATCTTCATTTCAGTTTTAAGCTACAATTGCATTTATGGTTCCCCCTAGTGCAATACGTTTTTCTACTTAATAAATTGTTTTAGATGGTTAATGTTGTTCATTTTAAACAGGCTCTATGGCTTCATCGTCGTTTTCTTTCCTCATGCTGGATAAATAGTTTCCTAGCCGACTCTAATGACGGATCCCACCATTCCAAGGAGGCAACAAGCATATATCATGACGTTGGCACCTTTCTACAGAAGGAATTAAGTCTCTTTCTCGCCTCAACTTTTGTTGATGATGATTATGGGGATTTCCAAGCACAAGCCACACATTCTGCTAGTTACATACTGTGGTTAAAAGTGGTATGTGAATTCTTTTTCCTTAGACTTTCCATTTTATGACTGCTTATCTAGATTGCTTGCTCAGGCCGTCTTAAATATGTTATGTACATCAGCAATTGCCCAAGCCTCTTGAAAATGAGCTCCTTGAGAAGATAAAAGATGTAGATTTGAAGACCATACTGGATAAGTCATGCCCAGAGAGGTCCTCTCTATTCAATTACTTTATGAGCTAGAGCTATGTGAGAAAGTAGCTCTCATATCTCAAGTCAAGAAGCAAGAGTATTGGTCAAATATTTACAGCTCTAATAGAAGAAAAATGGCACCATGTATTGTTTATTATTTTGATTTCTTGTATAGAAGTTTTTCCTTGCATGTTTTCTGGCAACACTCGGAATAAGTTTATAAATAAAGGTTTATGATTTTTGAAATGTGATTTGTGCAAATAACAATATTTTTGTAACCCAAAGTAGGTACAAATTACAATAGTAAAAGAAGTGAAAGAAGAAAAAAAATAATGTTGTTTTGTATGAAAAGCACAAATAAATGTAATCAACAGATACATTATTGAAGTATAGCCTATTATAATATGAAACGAGAAACAGACATAATACAAGTATAAAAGTGTCGCATGACAGAGTGCTGATAGATAATAATCATAATGTCTTTAGACAGTGTAGTGTCCATTCATATCAATGTCCAAACCCCGTAGCTTGGCAAACGATTCCACTCTACCTTTCAGAGTGTGAAGCTCTCTCAACCTGCAGTATTAGAAAGATAATGATGATGATGTTTTAAGAAAAAGGAAAATCACGAATAAAAAATAAAATTATGAAACAGTTTGAAGACGAACAAAGACCTTGCTAACTCTGCTCGCCTCTTAGCTTCGTCTGCCATTGTATTTATTTCTCTATGGTTGTGCTTCTCTGCAAACCCTTTCAACTCAACAGAGCGAAGACCGTGCAAGGTTCTCTGCTCAGCAGCCCATGCAGCCTCGCGAGATTCTTTACCGAAATCCTTTTTGTTGGTAAATGCAGTCTGTTAATTTGCACAAACAAGAAGTCATATTAGTACATTACCATTCTTTACGAGTCTCGGAAACTACACTGACAGTGTAACTAGTCCAATGATATTTCAGTCATAGAGCTTACTCTTTGGTTTACGACCAGATTCCAAGCCCTTCCGCTTTGTTGATAAGCAACAGCAAACTTTAATGGATCAAGAAAAACATAAGTTACAGTATTGAACAACCAAATGACTCCTGCCCAGCCCCAACCTATGCTTCTGATTCCAGCAATTTCCCAATTGGCCTCTGCTGATATAACAGTTGCAACCTAGAAATACAATAAAACGAGATAGTGAGCCTTTCCATATCGAAAAATCCACTTGATGTATATATTCAAGTTTGAACAGTGCAAAAAGGTTAGAGAAAAACAGTACCAGCTGAGCAATAACAAAGGCAAAAACAAGCAAAAGACCAGGTCTTTCTGTATAGGACCATCCCCTGGCCCGTGTCACAAAGATTAAGGCTTGACTAATTGTACTGACTTGAAGATAAACAGCAGAAGCCAACATTGCCTTCATTTCTTCAGTGACATGAGCGTGTAGATCGGGGCGGAAGTGTTTCACACCAAAATGGTCCTGCACCAAAAAACTTCTATCATTCATTGCATGAAGAGGGGGGAAAAGACAAAAACAGTTAACTTAAGAGTGGAAGGAAGATCCTCACAGGAAAGAAATTTGTTTCAAAAACTATATAGAAGAAGATCACTGTCATTAGAGCTAGATAGGTTCCAAGAATAACCCCAGTTGCGAAAATTTCACTAAGCTTCCAACTATCAGGAAGTGGAGAAGGCTTAACCCTATCTTTAGATATTGTCATGATGGTACCTATTAATTAAAATGTCAACATTTAAGACCATCAAATTCTAATGAGACTTGAGATTAAGATACTAGAAAGTAGCTATTATTACCATCATTGAGAATGGCAATGATAAGAACCATAAAGGGTGGAAAGTCAAAACTCCAAAAGCTGTTGAGTAACATAAAACCCAGCTGAAATAGTAAACAAATGGAAAATGAGAAAAATTGTTAATGATCATGTTCATTGTCGAATAGTTACTATCGATTTATTTTCACAGATAGCTTACCACAATACGAATAGTGATAGATACGGCATATATCTGCAAAGTAAAAGGAAAAAAATGATGAATTGTTGTCACACTAAGAAAAAACTGAAATGTTAACTTTTATAGTTTTGGGATTACTGTGTAGTTCTTCATCCTCTGAAAAATTGCACGGCTAGTTAAAACTGCGCTTATGATGACACTTAAACCAGGTTCTGTTAGCACTATGTCAGAAGCACTTCGCGCAGCGTCTGTAGAATCTGCTACTGCAATACCTATGTCCGCTATCTTTAAGGCAGGTGCGTCGTTTACTCCATCACCAGTCATCCCACAAATGTGCTTTCTAGCTTGTAACCTCTTCACAATCTCATACTTGTGCTCTGGTAAACGCATGTGTGTTGTCAGAAATCGGATGAGAAACAAGAGTAAGACATAACTTAGAGTTTCTGTGTTCAGATCATTGTTTGCTTGGCTTACCAGGAAAGACACCAGCAAAACCGTCAGCTTTCTCAATGAGATCATCAATGGAAACAGCGCCTAACTGATCTTTATTTTCACCGAGCAGTGACGAAGAAGGATACATGTTAGTCCCCATCCCTAGTCGCCTTCCAGTTTCCTTACCGATTGCGAGTTGATCACCTGAAAGTGTTTTCGTAGCATGAGTATAGTTTGCATTATCATTAAATCATTGGCTCGATTTCAAATGGCGGTGATACTGTGATACATACCAGTGATCATTTTGACACTAACACCAAGATCAAGAGCTCTTCTGATTGTTTCTGCGCTATCATGACGAGGAGGGTCAAAAAGAGGGAGAAGAGCAACAAACTCCCATGGTCCTCCTTCACTTTCCTTAATTCCCTCGGGTACTTCCTATATGAAAAAAAAAACTTCGGTGCTAAAGAAAATATACACGATAATTCACTTATCAGATTATGGAGAATTTGTAAAAGCGAAATAAACCTGTCTTGCAATCGCAAGAGAACGAAGTCCACGTTCTGCAAACTTGTCAATCATCGCATGAACCTTCTGTCCGATTTCTGCCTTGTTTTGTGCAAGATTGAGAATCTAAGCAGTATATGAGAAAAGTTTATCAATGATCATACGTAATTTATTCTGGTAGGTTGCATGGTTCTTGAAAAGCGAGAATCGATTATGTATTACCTGCTCTGGTGCACCTTTGCTAACCCTGTGCATATTACCAGCACCATCAATGTATGTAAGTGCAGTTCTTTTATCAGTTGGATTAAATGGAAGAAAATGAACTTCTTTTATTCCAGCTCGTGCCTTGCGAAACCAAAGGACTATTAGTAGACTAACCAAATTTCAACTACACAAGACGATGCAAACAAACTTCGAAGAATTTATGTCAATATAGGACACTAATTAAGCTATCATCTACGAAATCGATAAAGATTCTACAATCTCACTGCGAAAATCAATAGGAAAAAGACTGGATATTGTTAATCATGTAACTTGTAAGGCTTCTTTGAATTTGTACCTCTTTTGGGTCTGCCAACATTGAAACGATTGCGCAATCAATTGCATCCTGGTTCTCCATCCTTGATGCTCTTGCAGCCATAAGTACAACCAAATCCTTGTCAACACCTTTGGCAAAAACCTGCCAGATATTGGTGATTGTTAGGGGAAAAAAAAGTTAACATGCATCCTGGTCAAAGATTGTTTCAGTCAGAACTCAAACTAAAACTCGGGTTTTTCCGAATACTAAGATTTATCTGTGTATACTTTTAACAAAAAATGAAACTTGTGTCTTAAGTAATTGTGATGTTCTATTTTATCATTAGAATGAATAAGATTAAAACCTCAATCATTTCCTTGTCCACTGTAAGCTTGTTAAGAGTTAATGTGCCTGTTTTGTCACTGCATAACACATCCATTCCAGCCATTTCTTCAATAGCAGTCATTCTCTTTGTTATGGCACCCTGCAACAATGATGCATATGATCAAAACTTGACAACATACTTAAGAAGCTACTGAAATGTCGGAATGATCAATGTACTAATTGCGAACCTGCTGAGATAACTTATGTGATCCAATAGCCATTGTAACTGAAAGAACAGTTGGCATTGCAATAGGGATTCCTCCAATAAGTAGCACTAGAAGGTTATCAATACCGTTTCTGTATCCGTATCCGTGGATGCCGTATATCACAATGATTTCAATTATCATTCCAATAGCAATTGAACAGATGCAGAAATTTCCAATAGATGTCAAAACCTGTAATAATATTTGTCATGCCATGAGCATTACTATCACAACATTCAGTGTTGTCAAATAGCGACTATAACACTATAACACTATAGTATAGTTGAATTTGAACAAATCACTTTTACACTATTTAGTTAATCATGTATATTATGAACCTTTTGGAAGTGTCCAACATGTGTTGTGTTTTCGACAAGATGAGCCGCCTTTCCGAAAAATGTATGAACTCCGGTTGCTATGACTATGGCCTCAATTTCTCCTTGCTTGCAAGTTGAACCAGAATAGACTCCTTCTCCAGGATGTTTTGTCACAGGAAGTGACTCTCCGGTAAGAGCAGACTAAAAGTACAAACAACAAAAACATAACTTCAGTTACAAGAAATCTAGATGCTGATATCAACATTGATAAACTCGTGAAAGATACTATTCGTTGTGAAGCTTGAGTCGTGTATAAGTGATTTCGGAGTACTTTATAGATTTTACCTGATCAATCTTCAAAGGATCACCTTCAAGGAGACGTGCGTCGGCAGGAATGATGTCACCTAGCTTGATGCTAACTATGTCTCCAGGGACCAATACTGAAGCATCTTCCTCGCTCCATTTTCCGTCACGAAGTACCTATTAATTAAATATAATTAGAAATCAAAGAGACTATAAACAAGACAAGATAACAAAGAGATTGGAAGAGAAGAAGAACCTTTGCTTTTGGAGCCAATCTTGCCATAAGGGCAGCAGCTGCATTACCAGCATTATTTTCTTCTATGAAACTTATGGTTGAGTTTATAATTAGCAAAATAATTATGCCAACAAAATCTTGATAATCTCCTCGTTTTCCCTGCATAGTCAAGAAGAAGAAATAAATGAACCAGTTGTTCGACTGAGTTCTATTCATTCTAAAAGTCTAAAAACCGACTATGATTGAACTAGTAGACAAACTGATTGGTTCCTGATTCAATTGGTTAAACTAGACGAATTAGTTTTAAAAACACTGGTCGAAAGTTCAAACACGACTTTTCACCTTAACTAGAACTTTTACCACCAAAATCATTTTTTGTATGTATTTCATAATCCTTTTGTAAAATGAATAATATTTGTAACTTGCAAGTCAAGTTAACCAAAGGTTAGAAGAGTATAGTTTCATATTTACTAAATATATAGTTATTCTAATTTTGTACATGATTTGACCTAAGAAAAAAACCATTGAAAAATAACATAGTAAATACAAAAGAAAGAGACTTACCCCTCCA